TCAATAAGCAATCCTGAAAAATATTTGGGGGCGCTTAACTTTTTTCCAGGTGTATACTTTGCTTAACTGAAGTGTGGCAGAAATCTAACCTCATACTGAGAAACGTTTAAAGGAAGCAGCAAATAAATATACATGGGATTTATTTATTGTGTAGGATTTGATAGTTTTTAATCCATCAAATAGTTTTAGTTTGTTATACCGGTTTTATATTTTAACCCAGCAAGCATCAAGTTAGTTTTAGTTAGTTATACCGGTTTTATATTTTAACCCAGCAAGCATTAAGTTAGTTTTAGTCTGTTATAACTATTTGATAGTTTTAATCCACTAAGTATTAATTTAGTTTTAATCTGTTATAACTGTTTGATAATTTTAATCCACTAAGTATTAAGTTGGTTTTAGTCTGTTAGAACTATTTGATAATTTTAATCCACTAAGTATTAAGTTGGTCTTAGTCTGTTAGAACTATTTGATAGTTTTAATCCACTAAGTATTAAGTTGGCTTTATTCTGTTAGAACTATTTGATAGTTTTAATCCACTAAGTATTAAGTTAGTTTTAGTCTGTTAGAACTATTTGATAGTTTTAATCCACTAAGTATTAAGTTGGCTTTAGTGTGTAAGATCGGTTTCAATAATTCTTTCATAAATGAAACTAATAAGTTATAGTATTTTTAATAGTTTTAACCTACAAAGTTTTATGGATTACTTAAGTAATGTTTGTTTTAAAACAAGCCACTTTGGACTATCTGCTGTGTCCACAACGTGAAATCGAACCCCGGATTTTAGCGTCGTAAGTCCATAGCCTTACAACTGTTCTAACAGGAAAATTTAAGGAATGAATAATAGAAATTAGAATCTTGCTCATTTGACTCCATTATAAATATATGTCCAAAGCAATACGTTTTTTCTGCTGCATATATCTTAAATATTTTAGAAAGTTAGATGAATCAGTCAGAAGATTTATTATCATTTGATTTTCTTCTAATAAAGGTAATGTTTGATTTACTCCTTTATTTCGGTTATCTTATTATATTGAATTACAGCTTCTCTATACCATACAAATTGAACGTATGTAACTAACCTTATTATGTTGAATTACAGCTTCTCTATACCACACAAATTGAACGTATGTAACTAACCTTATTATGTTGAATTACAGCTTCTCTATACCACACAAGTTGAACTTATGTAACTGACCTTATTATGTTAAATTACAGCCTCTCTATACCACACAAGTTGAACGTATGTAACTAACCTTATTATGTTGAATTACAAGTTCTCTATACTACACAAGTTGAACGTATGTAACTGACCTTATTATGTTGAATTACAGCCTCTGTACACTACACAAGTTGAACTTATTAACTGAACGACCTTATTATGTTGAATTACAGCCTCTGTATACTTCACAAGTTAAACTTATGTAACTGACCTTATTATGTTGAATTACAGCTTCTCTATACCACACAAATTGAACTTATGTAACTGACCTTATTATGTCGAATTACAGCTTCTCTATACCACACAAGTTGAATTTATTAACTGACCGACCTTATTATGTTGAATTACAGATTCTCTATACTACACAAGTTGAACTTATTAACTGACCTTATGTCGAATTACAGCTTCTCTATACCACACAAGTTGAATTTATTAACTGACCGACCTTATTATGTTGAATTACAGTTTTTGTATACCACACATCCTCGTGTAAACTTTTGCGATTATAAGTTACACCAGCTGACAGTCTAGTTTCAAACTAACATTCGTGATTAGAGTACGTATTTAACTAAACTTCGGATTTTGTAGTTTTGGTATGTGAGTGTTAGAGCAAGTAGTAGCTGAAACATTTCACTGCTGGTACCCGAGTTCAACAGAGATAATCTAGTACATGTACTAGGAGAAATCAATATCTTTCATCAAATTCAAATATAGTGAAAAAGTCATTTTATGTATTTAGCAAGGTAATTAATCTATTGTTTTATAAAACGTTATCTTTAGTTCCAGAAGACCAGACAGTTTGACATCATGAACGACATTACTTTATTTAAGCTGAATGCCCCTGTCAACATTACAGATTACGTTCGTCCAATCTGTCTACCACCGTTTAACGAACTTCTTCCCACAGGCACGAGCTCTTACGTCACAGGTTGGGGAGCTACCAGAGGTGCATAAAATTTCTGATTTTGTTTTTTAAATCAAAGAATAAGCCGATTGTCAGCTCTAACCAAGATTTATCTTTTTCACTTTTTGTTATCACTAATCGTTATCTTACTCCACCTGGATTGATGTTCTTTCCAACTTCTATATAAAATTTTTTTTAAAACTTTTTCTTTAAAATAAAATATAAAACCAGCAAGGTACCTCTAACTATTCACAGGATGAAAAACATTTACCCAAACTTCCTTTGAATAAATGGTTCTTGTCAATTTTGAGGTGCATTCTGTAGATTCAGTCCTGAAAAAACCCGTATCCCCATTAGGAGTTCGAAATATGAAACTTACCTCTGGATATAGCTTATTATTTGAAATAGTCTTTTTAATTAAAAGCATCACAATCTCTAAAGTAAATTGACTAGGCCAAACCTAAGTCTCCGTAACTACTTCGATCTCCCTTTATCAGGTCCTTACACCACTCGTTCAAAATGTTTGTGGGAGTCAAGGGTCTATATTATAACTTTTAAATCGTTTTATCAAAAGCTGTTGAATTAGGCACAATTAAGAATTATTTGTCTTGTTTTTTTACTTAACGCCAAAGCTTTACGTTCAGCAATACTAACAACTACCAATTAAAAACCGCGGTTTATACACGAAGTTTGTCTGCAAGACCATAAGATGTATGTTTTTCAGAAGCAGCGTTACAAATTTTATATTATTGATAACTTTTTGGTTAAATCATATTGCCGGCAACATCCTTACGTTTCGATCATACACGTGAGCCTAAATCCCTAAATATTTTATTCAATTAAATAATGCACCTAAGAACGCTAAAAAAAAAACAAGTTCCTATAACTATCATAAGTTTTCTAGTTTTTAAACTATGACATAAGATCTTTTAACAATTCAACTAAGGTTGTCGAGATGATTCCGCGAGAAAAAAGGTCAGAATTGGGGACGAAATAGACATTTCTCTGTACAGAAAACAACGTAAAAAATAGTTCGTTTGATAGACCAAAAGTTTGGCTTTCTATTGGTTATAAATAAATATGGTATAAAAAGTTTGTCTTTCTATTGGTTATAAATAAATATGGTATGAAAAGTTTGTCTTTCTATTGGTTATAAATAATATGGTATAAAACGTCATTTGATAGACCAAAACTTTGGCTTTCTATGTTATAAATAAATATGGTATAAAAAGTTTGGCTTTCTATTGGTTATAAATAAATATGGTATAAAAATTTGGTTTTCTATTGGTTATAAATAATATGGTATAAAACGTCAGAGAGAACTATTGGCAGTTTGTGAAAGAGAGGATGTGATAATTTATAAACAAATAAGATTGAAAGCTACAAAATTATGCTTTGCCTGAGTATTAAAGACACTAAGTACTCCAGCTAGCAGGCTTGTATATACACGGTCACAGTTTCCTCAAACTTTTATGGCTAAGACTTTTTTTTTTTCAAAAATGGATAGAGAAGTTATAAAACTGCCAAAATACGTCGTTCACAGCTGGTTCCTGGAGTTTGGAGGTGTGGGGAAAGTCTCTAAAGAGAAAACCATAAACAGCTTCAGGAAAAACCCTTTCACTGCCAATGAAATCTTCTCTGACGAGAACTAAGATGAAATAAAACATGATTATGATAACAAACTCCTGTCGAATGAATTGCTAGAGTTGTTTCACTCAGATTCCGAAGAAACCGAACTCCTGTCGAATGAACTGCTAGTGTTGTTTCACTCAGATTCCGAAGAAACTGAACTCTTGCCGAATGAACTGCTAGGGCTGTTTTCACTCAGATTCCGAAGAAACCGAACTTCTGTCGAATGAACTGCTAGTGTTGTTTCACTCAGATTCCGAAGAAACTGAACTCTTGCCGAATGAACTGCTAGTGTGTTTCACTCAGATTCCGAAGAAACTGAACTTCTGTCGAATGAACTGCTAGAATTGTTTCACTCAGATTCCGAAGAAACTGAACTCCTGTCGAATGAACTGCTAGAATTGTTTCACTCAGATTCCGAAGAAACTGAACTCCTGTCGAATGAACTGATAGAGTTGTTTTCACTCAGATTCCGAAGAAACTGAACTCTTGTCGAATGAACTGCTAGTGTTGTTTCACTCAGGTTATGAAGAAACTGAACTCCTGTCGAATGAACTTTGATGAATTTTCGGAGAGTGAAATTTAGGCGGAGCACGTTATACAAAGAAAGTAAAGTTTTGAATATTTTCTAACACTCCCATTCAAGTTTTTATATCAGTTAAAATACTTGAATCAATAAATGAAGCGTGCACATGTATTGTTGTCTTCAATTATCGCTACAAAAGTTGTTGGAAAAATAATAAAATGAAAGAAAAAAGTCAAAATATTTCTCCTTTAACTTTAAAACGATCAAATACCAATAACTTGAGTGCTTTCAAAGGTGGACATTCTTTTAATTTTATGTCTTTGAATGTTTTTCTTCTACTATTAAAAAACACGTGTAATATTTTTATGTAAGCCTACCGATAACTCGTAAACAGCTGTGTTACAGAATTGGTATTATTTTTTGTAATGTTGACTAGCAGAAGGGGCAGCTAATACACGGCGCGGTTTATAACTGGAAAATTACGGTATTAGCTTCTATTTCAGTCATCCCACATTGGTACCATTTAGTTACAATGTGTTCTTTCATGGAACTATATATATGCATTGTCTTCTTTAAATCAAATTACGTTTTGTTGCGACACCATATAAAACATTTATTATATCACTAAACTATTATTTTTAATCATTTTCTTTGCCTTTACGAAGTCGGACTTTGTTTTTTTTTTACTACAATATTTCCATCAGTTACGTATTGTGCAGTTATTTCATAATAAATATGCTTCAGGTTTTCACTTTATTTTTTTAATTATTGACCTTTGAACTAGGCACCGGAAGTAACGCTGTTTTGAAACAAGCTGAACTAAAAATTCAGGACGAAAAAGCATGCGCAAATCCCTTCATCCAGTTCCAAAAAGAAACCATGGTTTGTGCGGGGCAGATGGAAAGAGGTCACGGGGTCTGTCATGTATGTCTATCTTTATTTTAACTCCAGTAATTGTTGTGTTTGTTGAAGGTAATCTTGGTATCCAATGCTGATGTATTCAAGTAAAGTTAAGCCTTTTACCTTCTTATTGAATCGCAGACTAAAGTAAACATATAGAGAAGAGAGTATATCTGCACAAACGGTAGTTTTAATATTGTGTTTCTAGTTGTTAACCGATATATACTTTGAATAAACTCCAGTTTAAACCACCTTAGATCATAATCTAAGGAATACTTAATATTATTGGAAGGTTTGTATTGACTCCAAATTAATTTGGATTTGTGATTGTAAAAATAAAAATAAATCGGTAAAAACTGACAGCTGGTTCTTTAACAAATTGATTAGGAAACCGACAAGTGATTAGTTCTAATATTCCACGTTCTTTTTTCAGGGAGACAGTGGCGGCCCTCTAGTGCATAAAGCCGGGAACCACTGGAATATAGTTGGTGTTGCAAGCTACGTCACAGATGTTAATATGATATCAGGACTCTGTGCAGTTAGGCCTGACAAACCGTCAGGATTTGCAAGGGTTTCAACTAAAATACCATGGATCAACGAAATGATTAATAAATATAGTTAAGAAGCCGAATACAAGTCTCACGTGAAGTTAACATTTACAGTCACGTTTGAAATTATAGAAGATAAAACAATTATAATAAAGTGATTTTTCTCAAAGTCTAAATTCTTGACTCAATGTAGTATTGAAAAAAAGTCATGTTACCTAAAGTTGAAGACTAGTTTAATTTCTTAAAATAAAGCCAGTGTTCTTTGTTTTACGACTATCTCAGAAGAGATTTCAGATAGTCATTAAATTGGATACTAGGAACTACTAATTCTGAAGAAAAGTCGACAAACATTAGAAAAGTCGATTAGCGGAGTGAAAAAAAAGACAGTACAGCTTATGTAAGAAAATGAATATTTAATATTCCCGCTACGTGCACTACACGAGGGGTGAAAGTCTGACAAAGCTCTCTCTACTAGTGCCGTAGCACTTACTAAACGTTAAAGGGAACATCCAACAATATAGTAAACGTTAAAGAGAACATCCTACAATATAAAGAAGGTTAAAGGGAACATGCGACAGTCTTTATACTTGAACATTTAACTTCCAAACTAACACCCATTCAATACGACTGACAATGTTGTGTGTTATACGTTAAATCAACTCTTCTGCTAAAAAAGTCTTTTTTTCAACCACTTTAAAATAGAAAAATTTTAATCAAAACTAACATTTTGAAATACTTCACTTGTAAAAAATTAAAACGACAACTGTCAAAACCGAACGTGTACATTATAGCTGAATAGAACATCGTTAATTTATAATAAATAAAGAGGTTTCTGCAGTAGTTTCTAAGTTGAAAAATGTGTTGATGGTAAAAATTATTTCAATTATTTATTTTAAAATTCAGAGTTATTTCAAAGAATAAAACACATTTTAAAAACAATTAACTGTGTATAATGAAATATCCCAGATAATAATAATGACAACAACAATGATAATAATAATAATAATTTGGTCAGTAACTAGAATAATTCCATACCGTAATGTACAACGTTGGTATACCCCAACAACAGAATATCCTAATATACTATAATAATACGTGTATAAGTTCAGCATTAATTATGGTCATTACTTTGGCACTAACCTCTCTGCTCCCACACCGGGGTCACGACTTTGGCACTAAACTCCAACTGCTTGATCTAAATGTTGAGACCAAGTTTGGAAGTAACATTTGTGTTAACTTTGAAAGTACTGAAACTGTAATGAAAACAAATACTTCTAAAATATACAGTTTTGATAAGATACAAAAAGCTACCAACGTTGGTCAGTTTTGTAACAACGAATTCTAAAATATACAGTTTTGATAAGATACAACAAGCTACTAACATTGGTCAGTTTTGTAACAACGAATTCTAAAATATACAGTTTTGATAAGATACAACAAGCTACTAACATTGGTCAGTTTTGTAACAACGAATTCTAAAATATACAGTTTTGATAAGATACAACAAGCTACTAAC